TAATAATAATAATAATAATAATAATAATAATAATAATAATAATAATAATAATAATAATGTTTCGCGAATCGGCTGACATGGAGCCACGCGATACGTTCATTCCCGCGGGGCTCAGACTTGATTATCGGGGTAGGAGCACGTTACTTTTCTTTAAGGTCCCAAGGTTGATAACCCTGGAAGATGGGATGAAATGAAGGTGATGATGATGAATGATGAAATGACACACACGAACATACAGGGTCATAACACAACTGCCCGAGGCGGGACTCGAACCCGCGATCATCCGCATTATTATTATTATTATTATTATTATTATTATTATTACTATTATTGTTGTTGTTTCTAGTTGTTTGTAGAGTAATGATAGCGATACAGATGATTGGGAAATGGGATTCGCGGCATGGGAAACCTGCCAGATCCGTTCGCGTCCACTGGCGTGGCCGGCGGACGAACTGCGGTAGGCGAGCGTGTACTTGTATTCCTCAGGCCGCGAAGACACAAGGGAAGTGGAAATTGCCTGTTGGATATCGGTTGGGGAAGAGGACCAGTAGGCAGAAGAATGGCCCGAATGATCAAAAAAAGTTTTCTTTTAAAAATAGGCACGTATTGGTAAACGCTTTTATTTAACTTGTACTGCGCGGTCCAAATCTCTTGTATTCATTGTTTACGAAACACTTGTGAAATACTGACAATGTAAATAACTTTGATGCCACATTATATAGGCTCTTTGGAGTGTGGTTCCCACACCTCTCATATACATGTATATGTTGAAATCTAGTATACTATTTATGTAAAAAATCTTCAAATCAAAACACGTCTAATTAACTATAATTTATGAAACATTTAAAATATATAATTTATAGTGTGTATATTGTAAAGCATACTATTTATATATCAAGTGCGAAAATCCCTCTCCCGGTTGCATTTCCCTCTCCAGGTATCTCCGCCAGTGGGACTCCGCCCCAGCCGGGTCACTTTCTATGCTGCCGACTGGTCTCCCGCTACGTGGTGTAGTGTAGTAAGAACATGTGAAAATCTGTGTAAGAGGAGAGGTGTGGGCAAGAATGTCACAAGGAGTCTCACCTCGAGGATGCAGGCGCCGAGGCGGTTGGTGACGTCCACCATGGCGTGCAGCGGCCTCTCGTACACGAAGGGGCCGCCCAGCGCGCTCTTGTCGAGCCCGGGCAAGGGGAACGCGCCATGGAAAACGGGCCACGCCGCGGCCGCTGCCACTGTCGCCGTCGCTGCAAACGCACACGCACGCGAATTACTGGATACACGCTTATCTGCATCGTTACATAGAGCATTCGAAATTATGTTCTTCATAACGACTTGAAGATACCAACAACAACAGAAACATTCAAAATAGGAGGCATGAAACATCAACAATGTGAATGAAAAGCCATACAAACTAGCTAGCCAGGAATATATTAGACAACGGCCCAGAAACAAAGAAGCAATATAGCTTTAAACCATTAGGCGTAAGATACATGAAACATCGACGAACGTAGAAAGCCAAACATCTAGGCATGGATATTTCTGATAACAGTCTGTAAACAAAGAAAGTTAAAGTGTTTAAGCCATTAATGTTACGTTAGGGATATATTTAACATGTAGGAAGAACGAACTTCTTCCTCGAGTGCCTTTGTATAATCTTTATTGTGACTAATTTTCTTGAATTAACCCAATTTCAAATAAACATAATTACAATTTAAAAAAATTAGTTAGATATTAGTTTCTCTTTTCATATGTTGCTTTCAAGCTCAAAAACAGGCATTTTTACAGATTGTTAAATATTGAAAATCGAGTGATACTGAAATGCATTTGTTAACTGAAAACTTTAAAAATGTTTATTAAATACAGAAAATAAAGAATATTTTTAATATGCCGATTTAAAAAACAAGCGATTATTCAAATGTTCAGAAAGATTCCCTAGCATCAATACTGTCTCTCCTGGAGACGGAAACGGTTCTCCAAGACCAATATATCACTGCCATTTCCAACATTATATACGGTGTTACGTATTCCTTGCACTACGTCCTCTAGAAGACCCAAGGTAGTGGTCGAAATATCAGTGACATTCAGCAGGTTATGTCGTTTGCTAGAGGTTCGTCTCTCCTCTTTGGCGATATTCTGTATAGAGATCTAGAGGTGGCAACAATGAAGTAATGAGGACACTACTAGCGTGAGTTTCCAGGCCTTCATCAGATCTTATTAGGATATCAGTAGCCAATACAAAACCAATGTGTATTTCATAGCCCGTATAAGATAGCAAGTAACAAAATATGCGAACTGTCGCATTTGCTTTAAAGATACGTGTTAGACGCAGAAAAGTAGAATATTTATCTGGTAAAATTACATAGGAAAAATAATGACCTAGGTAAAATAAGACGATAGCAAAACATTTGATCTCAATACATGAGAGATTAATATGTTTAATAATATACGAATACCGGACTATGAAGTAAAAAAAATAAATCCTTGATATGATCACTCCACACTTTCTCAGTTGGTTAGTTCTGACAATTATATCAAGGAAGCTTTTACAAATAACCATCACGTATTATCAAGTAGCCTCGACATTGAAAAAGCCTCCGATATGGTATTTTGAAACAAAAATATGAAGTAGGGAGCTTAATGCTCGATTTTTTAACAAATTTCTTCATAGGTGTCAGCATTAGAAAGCGGGTCAATTATCAGAAGAAACAAAAAATGAAAATAGTGTGTTACGAGGTATAACCTTAAGTGTCACTCTATTTATGATTGCAATAAACGACGCTGACCAAAACATTGAAGCTCAATTCATTGCTAGTAAATATGCTGATGACTTTACAATTTTACGCAAAAATCGAAATGAACCAAAGGATAATGCATTCAGCCTTGAATAATCTGTATGCATGCTCACAAACATGTTTGATTTTAAAGTTTTATCTAAGAAAACAAAGAACATTTTTTCAAAACAGAAAACAGTAAAAATTACAGAAAAATAATTATACGACTAGTAGTCGTTTTTGTAGCTTCCATACAGCAGAAAACTGATGATGATGGCTAAGCCATCGAAAGCTGCTATTTTAATAAATAATATTGTTGGCAATGACGACTCAATTATTTCATTGGAAATGCCAACAAAAACTCACCACAATACCAATACCAAAAATTCCAGGCTTGAAACTCGGGGATAAATCGCTAAACTTTGTTGAAAACTAAGATTCGTGGGACGTATCTACATTTAACATTAAACTGCTGAACATAGTTTATGGTTATGATAGTACATTAAACAACGATATTAAAGAGAAGAAATACCGCACTGGAATGGTGGTGTATCATTTACTCACCTTTCTGATCCAGTTCCACAGGGGCCCCACATGGTTCGATTTTAAGTCTTATTCCCTTCCTACTATACGTACACGATATGCCATTGACCATGGAAAAGTTCTTTTTGCGGATGATAGGAATATTATTTGCAGTAATGAAGCTGTATATAGTACAGTATCAAATGAGTCAAGTTGGTTTTGTAATAACAAATTAGTAGTAAACGAAGGAAAACGGTTTCAATACAACTTTACATTTCCAATAAACAACTGTATACTCCATTTAAAATAAAAGATTATGGCATTAAACAATTAAATTCGATTCACACGTTTAAGATCCTTGTTAAGGTTTTTTCTTCTGCGTAACTCTATACAATTGCAGACTACACCGAGCATCAAAAAGGAAAGTAATATTGATTTTAACAACAAATTGCATTAGTTATTATTGGGACTGTATAATATTATAAAATACTAAGCTTTCCAGTTACAAGTGTTACAGTAATTAATGTAACTCGCAACTAAATGCTCCAGAAGTTTGCAGACCAGTGATGAAAGACTTATCAGCCTAAAACTACATTATATATATATTTGTCATCACTTAAAAAAATGGAACGACAAAAGAGAATGTCCAATCTTCAGGTACTTTTGAATTGTTAATGAACACGAGAAATATTCTAATTAGATCGGTAATGCTATCTCGCCTCCTAGTTTAATTATATCCGTAGAAAAGTCGTCTAGGCTCCTTGACTTACCATTTTTCATAGATTTTATTTTGTTCTGTAGAACGTTCACTTCAATATTAAAATGATTTGTAACCGAAGAATCTTGAATTACTGGACGATTCGTATTGTTTTTGAAAACCGAACTGACGTACTTATTAAACGCATTAGCTTTTTACCGTCCGTCAGTAATGATCGTTTTCCATTTTCACGTACAAATAGGATATCCTCTTTATTTCCCTTCCCTCCCGGAATATATTTATAAAACCCATTTTTACATCGTATTTATAAAATTTAAATAATATTGAGAATTATGTATTTATTTGCTGTCTTGTTTCTTAAGTTTAAAAAATCGAATTAATATAAAAATGAGTTTTACATTTGTTTTTTGGTGGCGGGTTCTTGCCTCAATACTATTCGTAATCATGACAAGACAGTCAGTAATTGCACATCATAACACGTTCATTTAGGTTAATTAGATCGCTGGTGAGGTAGACACCTTCTAATAATTGAATACGGCAAATCATTTACCGCTTTTAATTCATTTAGATTGTTTTATAGCAATTGCATTTCTCAATACGACTCGAACATTTCTAGACCTGATGGGTAAAGCATGATCGGAGCGAACTTCTGAGAACGCGAAAGTGTCCTAAAGAATTGTGAAAGGAGTGAACTGTCTCCTAATAACCTTGATACAGAAAGCTTTGATAGCCTCGAAAGCGAGACAAATGCCAAACCAATACTTAATGAGACATAAAATATAAATGTCCAGACTGTGTATGAATGCGGAACATTTTAATGTTCTCTCGTAACATTAGAAGTGATTTTTGTTCTAGGACTTTTATCCAACCGAGAGCCGGTTACCCTTTACGTCCCAATGAGACGCATATTCGACCTTACACTAGATACTCTTGCGGGCTCCTCTGAACTGGGGTCAGCAGAATGTGAGGCCCTCCGCGACAATATATACATGAGAGACAAGGGACAACCATCCCCAAGGCGGGACTCCAAACCGCGACCCTTCGAACCGAATCTCTGAGATGGTACACGCTCTTAACCACCTTAGCCATCCCGGTCGGCGAAGTAAAAGGGTTGCTAGTAGAAAATCTTAAATACAAATTAAATCAAAGAAAAATGCGAACTTGTTTTTTTTTTGTGTCCTGCTCTAATTTTTCTATTACGAAATTAATAATTCTTAATGTTTATCTTCCTCATATGTTTCCCTATTACGTTTTTTCTCAGGAATCATAAACTCAATGTTAATTATTTCCTTTCTTTTTACCAAGCTCGACTAATTCTATGTCTTAGTGTTATTTGCTCATATCTTTGAACGACATTTGCATGGAACAAGAACTTTTTTAAATTTATTTTTCCTTGTCGAGTAAAAATAGTTGCATGAAAGTACTAAAATATTATCTAACATTGTAAATTTCCAATAAGGTCTTACATTTTGGAAATTACAAGAATTTATTATTTATTTCCCTTGGATATCGGGTAGCTTGAAAACACGTGAAGCCCTCAAAAACATGTGACTGCAGTCGAACATGTTCGAATTACAAATGTAACACACTGCGCACAAAAGTAAGAGCAACATTTACCTGAAACAGACATACATACGCCATTCCTCTTTGTAAGAAAAGTCCAATCACGGACAACATACTGTTTGGTAAGAGCGGATTTGCTCTCTTACACCACCCAAGTTGGGGAAAAGAATAAAGCTAACATATTTGATGCAAATTGCGGTCAACCAAAACAATCAAATTTTATAGTGAAATTAATGCATTTTTAGTCATTTACTTCCGTTTTAAAAATAATTTACCTTTGCATTTTCTCTTCTCGTTTTCTCTCACGCATTGCTGTAGTATCAATTGATCTAACATTAATGTCAAAAGTGATCAATAAAAATTGGTTTCCTTTTTGGAAAACTCCGATAACACTACCGTGGATAAAGTGTCACAATACTGAAAATCTGACTCTCAAAAGCGGTATACGAACATGTTAAAGTTTGACCTAAGACATTTGACTCAACTTAGCTTGCAGAAGTAAATTTTATTTATTAAAAACGTGCATATGTTCAGATACCAGTTTTATAGACCTTAAACTGTTAAAATGCCATATATTGAAGGCGTAACTAACATTTCAAAGCAACTCGTGTCATGTACAATGTTGCACGACACTTTCTTGTTTATTTCGTTTTCGAAGTATATATCCG